AATTAGTACAAGTTGATTAGATCGGCCTCCCGACTCTCAGCTGATTTGCTCTCAGCTGTTTTGCGCAGGCCTCTGTTGCTAGCTGCAAAGAGTGCTGGAGCAGATTTTTTTTCCCCTAGCTATACTGAAAATACGAAACTGAAAGCAGGCTCTGCTGCAATGTGACAAAATGAGGCAAAATGAGAGATTTCTTTTTCTTTTTCTTCATCAAAAAAGGTAGGTGCAAACAATGGGAAATTTAGGGAAAAAGAGGAGAGTTCAAGTTTTTAAAACACAAAAGAAAAAAAGCTCTATTTAACTAGGGAATTATAATAATTGAGATACTATTAATTGTATATTGTGTTGAAAGCAAAAATGGTTAAGTTGTGGTTTGGAGGAATATATGGGGGAAATTATTTGGTTTATTATTATTGGTAAATATAATTAATTGATTTGTAAGAAATTGGATTGCATGGAAATAATTGGAATATTCGTATTCATATTGATTAATATACAAAAAGATAGTTATATAACTAATTGATTTATATTAAAATGTTGAATTTGTATTAAACAACTGTAATATTACATAATATACCAATGTGAGGATGGATATAAAAATAGATGACAATGGGAAGGGGTATAATATAGAATAGAAGGGAAAAATTGAATTTGATTAAGATTAGAGATGAGGATGAAGGGTAATATTCGTTTTTTAAAAAAATAGATGAGGAATAAATATGGCAAAAAGGAAATACAGAAATTGTAAATTTAATTGAAATGACTAAACACTGTTTAAATTTGTGAACCGGCCAAATATTCTGTTCAAAGAAAATACATTGTATGTTTGTATGTGTGTTTCTAATTATTGCTATTTATTCATATTTGTTCTCTTTTATTCTTTAAAGTTTAACAATTCATTCTTTATCTTAATATCTTTATATTTGTTTGGGGTTGGCTTTCTTCCCTTTCATCTTTTTTATTGTACAGCAATCTTTCTCCTCAAACCTACCACCTCTCTCTTTTCTTTCCTTCTTACTTTCTCTCCCCCCCTCTTCTTCTCCTCTCTGCTTCCTCTTTCTTTCTCCTTCTCCTCCTCTCTTCCTCCCTCTCTTACCCTCACTCCTACTAATTTCCTTTCCCTTCCTTCCTCCCTTCTCTTCCTTCCCTCTCCCTCCTTCCTTCTTCCATCTCTCTTCTCCTTCCTTCATCCCTCTCTATTGCTGTATCCTTTTGTGCATATGGACTACTCAGGGCTGAAAAAGTTATTTTTGACTGGTCCTCGCACTTTTGATCAGTCCTCGAACTTACGACTGTCCTCACATTTTACGTTTTTGCCCTATCCTGTCACCATGGTGAAGAGAAGCAGTTGTGAAATGAGTGACATGGTTGTTAAGAATGCTACAATGGGCATAAATGTAAGGATGGTCATAAGTGTGAAGACAAGTCAAAAGTGCGAGGACCTGTCAGAAATGACTTTTTTCAGCCCTCTTAGTCCCTATGCACATAGCCATGGCCACCCGGTCACATGACCAGCTAGCCATGTCCACTCAGTCATATGACCTCCAAGCCACGCCCACAAAATAAGCCACGCCCACAGAACCGGTAGTAAAAAAATTTAGAACCTACCCCTGGTCTTCGTGCCTGTCGGAGCCCTAGAAACTTGGAGATCAGCTGGCCTGTGCACATGCCGGCCACCTGGTCTTTGGGTTTCCAATGCGCACATGCGGCACCGGCCAGCTGGTCTTTGTGCATGCCGGTAACCCAGGATCCCCAGGAGTTTCCAGGGCTCCGGCACGTGTGAAGATCAGCTGGTGCATACATGCGCACCAGCCAGCTAGTCTCTGAGTTTTAGGGCTCTGGCGCAAGTACACACATGTGCACACACATGTGCACGCACCAGTTTAGGCACTCGGTGCCAAAAAGGTTCACCATCACTGACATAGAATAATACGGTTTAAAGGGATCTTGGGGTTTTTTTAGTCCAAACCCCTGCTTAAGCATGAGATCATCCTTTTTAAAAAGCCATTTATTTATTTAAAACATCTGGCAACTCCCAGGGGGAGGGCCTTCTCTGTGGGGGCTCCAACCCTTTGGAATGAACTGCCCCCGGAGATACGGAATATCCCTGATCTCCGTGCTTTCAGCCGTGCCCTCAAGACCCTGATGTTCCAACAGGCAGGGCTAAACATACAAACATGCGAATGATTTTTTAAATGTTATCTAATTCTGGGTTTTATTTAATTGACCAAACTAAGTAACAATTTTAATTAGCAATTTTATGATGTTTGTGTGTCTATATTTTTCTTGACTGTACACCGCCTTGAGTCCTACGGGAGAAAGGCGGTATAGAAATATAATAAATAAATAAATAAATAGTTAGGAAATGTATATTCATAATGCAACTGGAAATACAGGGGGAGTTTTGTTTTGCCTGGAATTTAGGAAAACCTTTTAAATAGTTAGCATTCCACAAAAATCATGAAAAAGAAACCTAAAAAACCAGCATTAAGGGAAACAATAAAAATAGAAAACAATAGTAATATTAGCAGACAAGGCAAAGGCAAAAAAGTAACTTTCTGTTATGCCACAATATCAATATTATCTATATCTATATCAGGATGCAAAGAGAAAATATTTGCTGCGAACTTCACGTAGGTGTCAAGAAGGGCATTTGGCCAGTAAACGCTCAGTTCCATTTAGTCCCTCTGACCCCACTCCAAGGAAAGGATTACAGGGTCGTAAAAAGAATGTGTGTGTGTGTGTGTGACTATTTTTAGGGCTCATGTGAGATCAAGAAGTATTTACAAACCTGAATAAGTGGAGTTCCGTAGGGGTATTGCAAACTGAAGATGGCTCTGTGAAAGTGGAGCTGACAACTGCGGCAAAGACCAAAAAACTAATGAGTAAACTTCTTTATATACTTGTTTTTTCTTAATTATATTTTTATTTGTTTAGCTAATTTATTGGCTACTCATCTTACTACAGGGTTCTTTCCTTTTTCCCTGCATTTTCTGTCCTTTTTTCCCATTGTATTTTGTTTTGTTTGTGTTAATTTTTACTGCTGTAATATAATAATATAATATAATATTTAAATTTATATACCGCCCTTCTCCCAAAGGACTCAGGGCAGTGAACAGCAGAAGTAAAAAAACATCAAATACAAAATATAAAAACAATTTAAAAATGAATTAAACAATTTGGCCCGACAGTTAAAATCCCCCATTAAAAATCCAAATTAAAATACACAATTGGAGAGATTGGACCAGCCCGACTTGATGAAATAAAAAGGTTTAGAGGGCCCGACGGAAAGTACATAAGTCTGGAATCGTTCATATCTCTGGGGGGAGCTCGTTCCAGAGGGCAGGTGCTCCCAAAGAGAAAGCTCTCCCACTGGGGGCTGCCAGTCGGCATTGTTTGGCCAATGGCACCCGGAGGAGCCACTCTCTGTGGGAGCGTACTGGCCAGTGGGAGGCTCTTGGTGGCTGCTCTGTAAGGCGACTCGGGGTCCATTAACGGAGGTGATACTAGGTTAAGATCAAACAGGAACTCTTTATTGCTAACAACAGCTGTAGAAGCTTGTGAGAAACAGAACAGAATTTAGGCATTTGACAGCTATTTATACTTTAGCTGTCAAACTAAGTAACCAATGGGAAGACAGTATTCTCCCGCTGGCAAGTCCATGCGTTTTGGCCAATCAAGGCCGCGTGTCGTAAGTGTGAGGACTCAACAGTGGCAGAAGGTGGTCCCGTAAATATCCCGGCCCTAAGCCATGGAGCGCTCTAAAGGTGGTCACCAACATCTTGAATCGCACCTTGAGGACCATCAGGAGCCAGTGCAGCTCACATAGGAGAGGTGTTACATGGGAGCACCATGACACTCCCATAATCAAGGGCCTGGTGGCTCAGCAGACTGATAGCATTGTGATTAACACCAGCTGTCTGCAATTACTGTAAGTTCGAATCTCACCAGGCTCAAGGTTGACTCAGCCTTCCATCCTTTCTAAGGTAGGTAAATTGAGGACCCAGTTTGTGGGAGCAATAAATATACAAAAGTATGAAGGCTATTGCTTAATGCATTGTAAGCTGCCCTGAGTCACAGGAGAAGGGCAGCATATAAATCAAAATTAAAAAAAAAATAAAAAAAATCACCCGCGCGGCTGCATTCTGGACCAGTTGGAGCCTCCGGGTGCTCTTCAAGGGGAGCCCCATGTAGAGACTAAAATTCTTAATAAAAACTATATTTATATAGAGAGAGGGGGAAAGCTGAGAAGGGAGAAAGATAGAGAATAGACCTGAATGATCAAGAGAATAAACAACTTAGAAACTCGTGAAGGACTATTTCAGATCATTCAAATAACTCTTCCGTAATGAATTCATTTTATATGAGAGTTGGAAATTCCTTTTTCAGTTTTCAAGACGCTGCATATACCCAAGACGAGTATTAAAAATACCTTACTGGAAATCCCACGTCCTCCCTAAAGTTGAATTAGCATTGCAGTTAAGAAAATACTGCTGTCAGATCAAACGATGTGATTTCCATGCAAATTTAATTCCAAATCAAGTACCGCATTTAAGAGGCATCACTATTTTTCTATCACCTATTTTCTCAAAGTTTTTTTCCCACCCGAGACTACAATTCCCAGGAGGCAGCGCAATCGTGAACCCGTATTGTATCGTACTAATAATGGAAACGCCCAGGATGCAGCAGCCGTTCCCGGCAAAAAACATCACTCGAAGAAATCAGTCCTTCGCGGCTTCCGTGGAAGCTCGACTGATGCAACTGCAAACAAAGCTTACTCCAATAGCTAGCAGGCGATGAGCTTGCTCAGCAGCTGATTGAAGGAGAAGGCATGGAGGCCACACCCTCTCATTCGGATTGGCTGAGGAATAATCTTTGTCCTGTGCTTTGCCACGGCTTCTCTTCACCCCCACCTCCGATTCTGAACGAGCAACGTGGGAGTATCAGGTTTGTTTGCTAGGGGATAAGTGGGCTCCATAGAGACGAGTATGAGGGAGGGGGGAGGCTGGGTCAGGGGAGAACCTGAAGAGTATGGAAAGGATCGATCAGCGATGCAAAGGGAATGGAAGATCGGGTTTAAGGGACAGGGACCGTAGAATAGACAGGAAAAGCAGAGCAGCAGGTGGGAGTTGGGAGGTGGAGCCGGCTCCAAGAAAGGAAAAAGATTAAACGAGCTGTGATGTCAAGTTGAGGATGAGTGTTAGTTAGGAATCCTGCAGCAGCCCTTCTAAACTTTTTTTTTGTCCCAGATACTTGAATCTACCCATTCTCTAAATCCAGTGCAAAACCTGAAGACCGTTCCTGTAATTTGCAAGAATTATATTATTATCACCGGCACGTTTAGTTGATATTCTCATTTTTTTTATATACCAGGGATCCATTAGGTCACTTCTAGAAATTTGTTACCATGAGTGTCGGATTCATCGGTGCGGGGCAGCTCGCCTTTTCCTTAGCGAGGGGCTTCACGGCAGCAGGTAGGCAAGTGCAAGAAATTGGAACAGATTTGCAATAAACTCACTGATAGACCAGTGTTATATTTAATTCTGCAACTTTCTTACACATTTGCACAGTATGTTAGATGCTATGTCATTTGTTTGCTTTTGGTTTAGTATACTGTGCAGACGAAGCCAGTTGTGTTATTTAATCATGTGTAATCAAGTAATGTGCATGCAATGTGTAATCAAGTAATGTGCAACTTAAATATGATATTTCTGAAACGTTAGAAATGATACTAAATTTTTATCCAGGTCACTTATGGTATCCATCTATCTGTCTCTCATATTTTTATTTTTTCCTTGACTCAAGCATACTTTATATTTGTATAATGAGCTTATTGTAATGAAGACAGTGCTACTTTTGTTGAAATACAGTAGAGTTAGATACAAGTTTGAAACTAATCCCCTTTTGTATTTTGGAATTCATGTTACTATATTACCACTCTCTCCAGATTAACTTGTTACAGTATTGTTGGGAAAATGTTAATGAGATACAAGCAGATATATGTATGCTATATTTTTAGGAGAATCCGAGGTGCATTTAAATACTCATATCACAGCAACCAGAACCCTAGAACCACCTCCTAATTTCTAGGTGGTTTTTTTTTTTACTTCTTACGAAATAGTATAATTACAGGCTAGAAGAGTGGTTTACTGGTCATGAAACTGCAAACATTGCAAAAGACAGCACAGAACTTTCCACAGATTTAAAAACAAAGTTTTGAAGGGTGTAGTTCTGCATGAACTTTGCCTGCTTATATATTATCTTAGTTTTGAATGTTCATTTACTTTAAAAAAAATTATCAATACATTTCAGTATTTCTTCACTTTAAAAAAATTGAAAATCTACAATTGGATAAGAGGTAGTAAAAGCAAATTGAATAAGAGACTGAAAAACAAAATGGGTGTATTTAGAAGAGACGTGATGATAGTGGCAAGGATATAATGAAAACAGAGGAGGCAGGCAGAGCAGGTTATGCTAGGCTTTAACAAACCTGGTAGTAGGACTATCAGAGCTGGGCAGCAAAAATTTAATGGAGCTAGATGGCAGTAAAGAAATACTGAAAAAGATCCTTTAGTGTCCTCTAGTGGTCATCTAGATTGATTTAGTCAGTTATGATAAAAAGAAAGGGTTTTATGCAACTAGGGAGGGGGAGATGAGTTCCCTATGACTCAAGTAGTCAAGCAGGAGGGGGAGAATATGATACTTTAAATAGAGGAGGGAACTCTTCACATGGCCTACATTGCTGCTATAACATGGAAGAAATGGCTGAGTGACCTTCCTCTTCCTTTTCTCTCAGCCTGGTGGGACTCTGCATCTGAACTCTCTCACCACTGGAAGAGCCCATCTAAGTGGGGCTGTAAAACACTAATGCCTCTGATAAGAACTGAATCATCACTTGAATAAGATATAGGAAGTTATAGCAAAATGAAACATAATATTTATTTTTCTAGGGATTTTGGCTGCCCACAAGATAACAGCAAGCTCACCAGACACTGATCTCCCAACAGTATCAGGCTTGAGGGTAGGTTATAGTATTTGAAATATTAAAATGCCTCTTTTTTGCTTTCAAAACACTCATAAAACTCTCCGTAGCTATGTTTGTATACTGAACTCTTCATACATGATGTGCACACTGCTTTGATTGATGTCACTGATGACTCCTGGCAGTGAATCCAGCTAACAAATCAGGTGTTTTTTGGTTTGATTTCCTTACATAGCTTGACAAGAATCTTGCTGGTTCATCTAGGAACAATCCATATCCTGATGCCAAGAACAAAACTGTGGCACCAGTCTGGCTTGTTCCAAGATGAATAAAGTAGAACTCCTAGTTTATACATCATAGTCACCAACCACAGAGCATACAACTTTTTTTAACTGTGACTATTAGCAGAGGGATCCAGTGGATATGATAGCAACAACAGAGAGCAGCATACTTCTAGTCATAAACCAGAATACTGATTTGTAGTTCCAATAAGAACTTGGGCATTTCGCTTCATCCATGTACTGAGATAGTTTAGATTTTTTTAGCTCTGATATTATGTCTACAGGAACTAAACTTCCCAGTCAGAACTTTTTCTGTTCCTATACTAGAATTAGGATACATTTCATTCATATAAAAAAGAAAAATTGAGAGAAAAAAGTAGGGCTACATGTTACTTAGAAAAGCATATACAGGGGATCCTCAAGGTACAACAGGAAATTTAATGGATATTTGAAATTATGACAGACTACCCAAAATCACATATAACCCCATTTCAAAGTTACGATGGCTGCAGCAGGCCTGCAGTCCCCCCCACCCACCCACCCATTGAAACCCTGCAACACTTGGGCCTCCTCCCAATGCATCCATCATGCCCCATCTTTTGAAGCTCTCCGGACCTCATGTTGTGGAAGGCAAGCAGGCTATGTGTCCCTGGGCCAGGCAATGGTGATCCAAATGCGGAGGCCATTTTGTCTCACCCATTTGTGGGAAGGACAAAATGGCGGCCATCAGAGAAATTACTTCATTTTGCTGCCTTCGAGAGTTCTGCAGCATAGTGCCTTAGAAGCTTCTGATCATTGCAGAAAGCTTCTGTAGCTCTGTGCAGAGCTTGGTTAAGGTAGCAAAATGAAGCAATTTGTCCTGCAGATGTGTGGCAGTGAGCCTAATACAGCAAATCGGATGTGGCTGCAATTTTACGGATGGGACTAAATGATGGCCATTTTCAGAACTGTGCCATGTGGCCATGCAAAAAAGAAAATCATATCAGCATCCTGGAAGGCCTCTCAGCTCTTCAAAAGCTAAATGAGAAGAAGTGTATTTGGCCTGGTGATGGGATGGGAATCAGATCTAAGGTCTGGGAAGACCCGGTGGGAGTGGGAAAAGGCATGTGAGGACCCAAGCACAGGAAGTGGAGCATGGGGTGTCAGTGATGGGGGAGGCCTTGGGAGGGCCAGGGCAGGCGTGCTTGGGCCTGTATGAAGCCTCGAAGAGCCTCCCCCACCCAGGAGGCACCCCACATTCCACTTAGCAACCCACATGTTCTTTTTATGTTTCATTGGGAAGCAGGGTGGATAAAAATTTAATTTTAAAAAAATCGATTTTTAAAAAAAATTAAATTGGATTTTTTTGATTTTTATCAAATTTATTTTAATAAAATGCTTTTGGAGTAAAAATCTGTCTAAAGATAGTTTTCTATTTAAGATACATTAATAATTTAGTTTATTCAGAATGATGTGGAGCTTAGTTATGTAAGATGAGGCTGTATATTTTGCAATATTTATATTTTTGGTAAACTCATTCAATGAATCCAAGCTCTGCAGGCTAAATAGGAAACCTTCATTTTGCTTGCAAATAATAATATTAAAGATTTTAACTACCAGCAAGAATGAGTCCTTACATTTAAAGAGCACCTGTCATTTCAGATCCATCACGGCAGCGCCTGTTAGAGGCATCCACTCACCTGCTGTCCACCACGTCCCTCACCTTGTTGTGTCACTGCCACATTAAAGTGAATGGGACTGTCGGTGAGTCAACAGCGGCTCAGAGGAAGAGCCACTGCGGGACAGAGACGACAGTTGCTTTTTAAAAATTATGATTTAAATCTACTTGATTTAAATCAAGCCTTTTTTACTAGTGATTTAAATCATGATTTAAATCGACTTGATTTAAATCAAATCATCCTGCTGGGAAGAGTGGGGGTGGGTTCATTAGGTCACACCTTTCACCTAAAGACTGCTATGACATATGACCATAATGGGCAGGCTCGATTACAGTCGTTTCTCGAGGCCTACCTATATTTTAATAGTTGTTTTTTTTCACATGAAAAAATAACTTTAGCATGAGATACTAGTATGGAAATACTTTTTGTGAGGAAGATATAATCTTTTTTTATTTATTTCTTCTGTTGCAAATAGATATTCTCGAATAGATATGGAGAAGATTTGATACATTCAGTCACCGCCTTGCTTCTGTCAGTTATCATTACTTATGGTGGCATTGCTAAAGGAATTACATGTTACATTTGTGTCCACAATGCATTCTTTAGTCCTTAGTTTCTATCTTCAGGAGTATCATATTCCTAGAATCTAGTTGAGATCAGACCTGTCCTTAAACTGCAGAATATCTGAGGTTGTGGTTTTGATTATAAAATGTATTTATAAAATTTTCATATATAAATACAGGTAGTCCTCAACTTACGACCACAATTGAGTCCAAATTTTCTGTTGTTAAGTGAGACTTTGTTAAGTGAGTTTTTGTCATGATAAATGCCTAACTATTACATCTCCCTGACCACCCGGTCCTTCAAGGGTTAACTAACCACGTATCCCATAATCCCTGTAACCACTCCTTACCTCTTGGCCCCTCCTCCTGGGTACAAAAGGTCCAACCACATGTTCCACGATAGATTCCAGACGTATACCTGAAAGAGAAAGGTACAAGGTCAGTGACCTCCAGTACCAACAGATCAACAATAAAACTACTGAAAAGAATTGGGCTATGTCTTTGAGTTATTGGGCTAGATCCAGTTTATAACAAATTGGTAGCAGAGGTCGGTTGCCCATAACTCCAGACAATGACTGAACCCAACACCTACCTAGAAGAAGCAAACAGAGCACAGACCAGAGCTCTTACCAAGAAGATGGCTGAGAAGCTTCCAACCAAAGCCACAGCCATGGAGGAGACAGAAGCTGGAAGCGAACAGGACTCCAGCCTGGACTCACAATCAGATGAAGAGGGGCCACCCAAGGAAATCACCGCCCCGGAAGAAGAAACAGCACAGAAAATGAAAAAATTCAAACTCTCCATCCTGAAACTGATGGAGGGAAACAGCGACAAAGAAAACCTCATCGCGGACCTTCAAAGCCTCTTCGAGCAACAAGAAGCAGCGATCGAGGCCCCAAAGACCACCGAGAAAGAAAAACCAGCAAAAAAGGGTAAGCCACCCCAACCCGATGATCCTGAGCCGGCAGAACCCATTTCCGTGCCCCCTTCCCGGCGGCCATCTTGGGACGAGCACCAGCCAATGGGAAGCCAGGATTTGAATCCCTTGGCGCGAAAATGCCCGAACCCCGAAACAGACGAGGGGGACTCAGAAAGCGACTACGAAGAGCCCAGCTCTGAAAGCGACCACGAAGAGATCGCAATAACAAAAAGAAAAACGCCTACCGATCTCGAATTGCAAAAGGCAATCGAGACCATCACCGCTGCCCTAGGCTCCGCTTTCGAGCCTCCTGCAACACTCAACAAATCAAAGAAAAATCCTGGAGGGCACAAGAAGGCCAGGACAACCAACAGAGACCAGGCAACCGAGTCACAGCATACAAAAAACTCCGCGCGCACCAACAACCGGCACAAAAGACCGCCCACCTGCAGAAAAAATCAACCGCAGAACTCGAACTCACCACCCGCTACACCGGCAACACGAGGCCCGAGGCAGAAGAGAAGAACCGGCTACTCACCAACGCCACGACACCCATCAGGCCAGTCCACGCGACCAGGGACCAGCGACCACGAGGGAGGATCAGCCGCCGCTGCCGCCATTGCCGCCGAGCCGCTGGGTGCAGGGAATCCTCAACCTACGACCTCCGCTGCTGCCGCGCCGCCAACCCGCGAAAGTCCTCGACTTGCGACCGCGTCGCCCCCTCACCTTCTCCCCTTCTTCGCCGGGGATCCGGCCATCCAGCAGTGGTGTCCAGCCTCAGGGGGGATCTTCGGACCCACCGGGGGCGGGTCCAGCCTCCCACCGACAGGCCTAGGCCTAGGCCTGGGAGCTCCAGCAACAGGAACCTCACCCGATGGATTCCAGCGCGGAATGAGCTTCGCGCATGCCCAGTACCTGCCTGTAATAAGAGAAGCAAGTTACATAGATCCAAGCAAGTACAGAATGGCCACAGACATCCCAAAGCCTTATTGTGAGTTTAATCACAACTTGGACCATGGACAGCTCCCCCCAGTAAGTAACCTTACTAACATTTCTGGGGCAAATTATGCCAATTTGCCAAAACTGCAGTTAGATGGGGGTAATATTATAGAATGGAGCCAACAATTAAGAGTTGCTCTCATGAGAGAGAATGCACTGTTCCTAGCTAACAAACCTCCCCAAAAGCCCTGGTCACTGGAAATTGACTGCATTCATCACAGGGCATTTTGCATCATGTTAACCTCCATTCCATCTGCTATGTATCCATCTATTGAGGACAATCTAACTGTTTATGATATTATGCAAAAACTATGTAACCTGTTTTATAGCCAAAGCAGAGCCACCACCACTAGACTATCTAGGGAGTTCCACTCCACCAAGCATAAGGCAGGGGTCCCCATGAGTGAGCACATCTTAAAGATGAATGCTGCAAGGACAGAACTCATGCAGAGGGGGGAAATCATCACTGAAGAGAGCATGATAAGCATAATCATAAACTCTCTTGATAGCAGCTGGGACATCTTCATGACCCAACTAAATAGCCTCAGCTTGCAATACCTCACACTAGGCTCACTGACCAGTCAGCTCGTTGCAGAGGACACCCTGAGGAGGGAACGCCAACTAGCCAAGGGGGACCCTAGACCCACAAAGAGGGTGGATTTCCAGGATAGGGCCAGGGATACCTCAGAATGTTATTCTTGTGGATCGAGAAACCACTTAAAGAAGGATTGCCCCAGGAACCATAGGGACAGGGGACAGCACGACAGTAGAGGGGGAAGGTCACCTGAACGCAGGTACCCAAAGGAAAGGGGGCGAGGATGGTCACCCAACCCCAGGAAACACCACGAGCGCAGAGACCACTCCAGGGAGAGTAGCTCTGGCTCCATGTACGGGATCAGGCACGATGACCCAAATGACAAACATAAGATAGAGAGAAACTCATGGCTTCTAGATTCAGGGGCCACAAGTCACACTACCTGTAATCCAGAGCTGCTAGACTCACTCACAAAAATAGACTCAGAAATAAAGGTGGCAAACCAAAGCAAGGTCAGAGTAGTGGGGAAAGGAAACGTACACATCACACAGGTAGGGGACTTAAAAGAAGTACTGTATATACCAGAGATTCCCCACAATGTGCTAGCCATCACAAGGCTAACACGAGACACAAATATAGAAATAAAATTTAAAGATGGAAAGGCACACTTGATCAAGCAAGGGAAAGAGATAGGAAAGGTAACCATACACGAGGGACTTCCCTACTTCACACCCAACGCAAGGGAGGAAGAAGGCATTGATACCAGCACAAACCACAGGATAGATAAGTATCCAGAAACAGAGGGGGTGCAGCAGGAGGCAGGAAGTAGCCATGAGGAGACAAACAAGTCTGTATCTATCGGCAAGCCATTACATGATAACTGCGCCCACCTCCTCCACAGGAGACTGGGACACATAAGCTTCCCCATTGTAAAGAAAATGACGGAATGTACCGAGGGTCTCAAAGTAAAGAACTGCGAAAACTACTTGGAGTGTTCAGTTTGTAAGCGTTCTAAGATCAAGGTTAAGGCCATCCCCAGGGGATCCAAACGAACCACGGAATACCCCTTCCAGCTGGTGCATATGGACTTGGTAGGGCCAATGAAACCCTCTGTAGGACATAGGAAGCGGTTCTTCCTCACGATTGTGGATGACTACACCAGATACGGGTATGTCTACTCCCTCAGGCACAAAAATGAAGTGTTCCAAAGGTTTAAAGAATTCCACAGGAGAGTAGATATGCAACACAACATGAGAATAAGGCAGATAATGACTGATAGGGGCTCAGAGTTCATGGCCAAAGAATTCACAAGGTGGCTGAGGGAGCAGGGCATAGCGCATTACACCTCTTCACCTTTCTCCCCCTTCCAAAATGGAGTCTCAGAGAGAAAGAACGGGGTGTTGCAAACCATGATGAGATGCGCCCTGGAGGATGCAGGGATGGGGCAGCATTTCTGGTCAGAGGCATTACACTACGCCAATTACACCCTGAATAGACTGTGGTCAAGCTCTATCAATAAGACGCCATACGAGATGCTATACAACAGAAAGCCTAACATTGCTCACTTACACATATTCGGCGCCCCAGCTGATGTCCACATTCCCAGGCAGCTAAGAAGAAAGGGGGAGAAATTATCAAAAAGGTTAAGGTTCGTGGGTTACGAACCAGGCACAAAGGGCTACAGATTTGTCGACAACAATAACCGTTTTGTAGTTTCCAGATCAGCCAGTTTCCACGAAAACGCAAACTGGTCGAGGGTACACTCCAATGACATCCCAACCAATAGGGTCACGTTCGAGCATGACCAAGGGGAAAGGGAGGTCAGAGAGGTCACAGGGCACAAAGCCAACCATCGCAAGGCGAGCGTCAAAGGTTGGAAAGAAGGGCACCCCTCACTGAAGATAGATGACCTGACGGACAATGAGGCAGACAACATGCAGGAAACCGAGCCAACCCTCAGCAGGCCAATCAGAGAAACCAGAAACAAGCTACCAAAGAAGTTAGAGGACTACGTTATGACCATCCACAACACCCATTTCACGCCCAGCTCATATGAAGACATCCTCGGGCTCCCCCAGGAAGAAAAAGAAAAATGGATGTCTGCCATGGAGAAGGAGATGGAAAGCCTAAGGAACCTCCAGGTATACTCACCTGCCCAAGTTCCAGAGGAAAAAAAACCAATAGGAACCAAATGGGTGTTCAGGGTTAAGACATTAGAGGACAACAAGGTCCTATACAAGGCGAGATTAGTCGCGCAGGGCTTCGCCCAAAGATACCCCGAAGACTATACGGACACCTACTTGCCAACCATCAGGGCGGAAAGCGTCAAAAGCGCCCTGGTGGTGGCCACCATCCTGGGCTTGGAGGTCTTCCAGTTCGACGTACAAACAGCGTACTTACACGCCGAGCTGGATAAAGAAATATACGTCAAAGCGCCACCTGGGTACAACAGAGGCGGGGACCAAACCTGGCTGCTGAACAAAAGCCTGTACGGGCTCAAGCAGTCAGGCAAAAGGTGGTATGACTGCCTGGCCAAGGCCCTCAGATCCATGGGCTTCGAGGCCACCTCAGCCGACAAATGTTTCTTTACGAGGAGAGAAAACAACGCATTCGAGGGTGTGCTCGTTTACGTGGACGACATCTTGTACATCAGCAAACACAAGGACAGATGTGACAAGTTCGCCACTGACCTGGGTAGCCACTTCTCCCTAAAGTCACTTGGAAAGATTGACAGATACCTAGGGGTCCAAGTGATAAAAACCAACAAGGGTTTCCGCCTCTCCCAGAGAGAAAAGATCATCGAGCTGCTGTTCAAATGCAACATGTCCGAAGCAAAACCCAGCGAGACCCCTATGCAACCTGAGTTCCTGAAGACCATGTATGAGGAATCTGAACCTTTCACAGACAACAAATTGTATAGATCAACGATAGGGTCACTGCTGTACATATCCAACTGGACCAGGCCCGACATCGCCTTATCCGTCAATCTACTGTCCAGGCATGTAAGCAAGCCCACGTTAACACACTGGAACGCCATCAAAAGACTACTCAGATACTTAAAATTCAGTGCGGATGCCCTACTCTGCCTAGAACCAGAAACATCCGAGAAACCAAAGCTAACCTGCTATGCTGACGCTGACTGGGCTGGGGACATAGGTTGCAGAAAAAGCACCTCTGGCTACGTGCTACTACTCAACAATTGCCCCATACATTGGTACACTGGGAAGCAAAAACTGGTGGCCACATCAACTACGGAAGCAGAATTTGTTTGCCTGTCAAAGGCCGCAAACAATTTAGTATGGTTCGATGACCTGCTCTGAGACATCTGGGCTGAACCCTCATATCCAATAGTTATCCACGAAGACAACAAAGCAGCAATAGAGATCTCTAGGGCCGATGCCATAGGTCAGCGTTCTAGGCACATTGACATTAAATACAAACACGTCAGACAGTTTTCAGAGATAGGCTTCATTAGAGCAGTACACTGTGACACAGAGGAGCAAACAGCAGATATTCTCACTAAACCCCTACCACATAAACAACATGCTTACCTAATGTCAAAAATGCGTGTTTGCTTGTAATTCATGTCTGTACTTGTGTATTTCCTGTATGTATGCAAACATTGCCCCAGGTACCCAGTTAGGCATTTAGAGGGGGTTTTGTCATGATAAATGCCTAACTATTACATCTCCCTGACCACCCGGTCCTTCAAGGGTTAACTAACCACGTATCCCATAATCCCTGTAACCACTCCTTACCTCTTGGCCCCTCCTCCTGGGTACAAAAGGTCCAACCACATGTTCCACGATAGATTCCAGATGTATACCTGAAAGAGAAAGGTACAAGGTCAGTGACCTCCAGTACCAACAGATCAACAATAAAACTACTGAAAAGAATTGGGCTATGTCTTTGAGTTATTGGGCTAGATCCAGTTTATAACAGTTTTGCCCCATTTTACAACCTTTCTTGCCACAATTGTTAAGTGAATCCAGCTAACAAATGATTATGGAGATGCTACAAAGTTGTAAGTGTGAAAAATGATGATAAATCTTTTTTTCAGTGCTGTTGTAACTTTGGTCACTAAATGAACTGTTGTAAGTCGAGGACTACCTGTACTAGAGTCATCATAGCAAATGGTAAAACAGCACTACCATAAGTGTAAAAATTGAATATACATCTAGATACTGAACACGTTCCAAACAGGATATATGATTCTTCCCAAGAAGTTCCTCTCTATCTCAGTTTCTCTGCAAGCTAGTGCAGTTATTTCGATCAAAAAACTTCATCTCAACCCCAGTAGTCAAAACAGTTGAATTACGTTTGCCTCATTTTTTTTGCCCATTTAAAATCAAGATGTGAGATTATTTTGGCTTTAATCTATCAAGTTTATTTTGCCTTTGTAGTTCTAGGAAAATAAATGTGTGCCCAAGCTTGCCTCGTTTCATGCTTAATTCTATTGTCCTTGTTATAATCTCAACACAAAGATGTACTTCATCAATTGCTATGCAATTTCTTAATTCCAGAAAATGGGTGTAAATTTCACCATAAGCAACAAGGAGACGGTTAAAAACAGTGATGTCCTGTTTCTAGCAGTGAAACCTCCCATAATTCCCTTTATCTTGGATGAAATTGGCTCAGACATAGAAGATCGACATATTGTAGTCTCGTGTGCTGCTGGTGTCACTATCAACTCAATTGAAAAGGTGAGAATCAGCACTCATCTCAGTGGTGAAATGTAAAATTTGTAATGGGGGTACATGTGACTGAGTGGGCGTTGCCAACTTTTTTTTTTACTTTTAAAAGCATTTTTTAAAAGTAATGTGTGGGGATGCTGTGTAATGGGGGGGGTAATGTGACTGAGTGGGCGTTGCCAACTTTTTTTTTTACTTTTGAAAGCATTTTTTTCTACAACCTCTTCAGCCGAAGAGGTTGCAGAAAAAATGCTTTTAAAAACCTCTGACGATCCCAGCTGAGCCGCGCAATCATCAGAGGCTTTTTTTTTAACTTTTAAAAGCATTTTTTCGTTGCAGAAAAAATGCTTTTAAAAGTAAAAAAAAAAAAGCCTCTGATGATTGCGCGGCTCAGCTGGGCATGGGGGGGCGCATGGATTTTTGCTACCGGTTCTCTGAACCACCCGCTGCCATCGCTACCTGATCGGGCGATCCGGTCCGAACTGGGAGCATTTCACCCCTGACTCATCTGTATTAGGTTTCTTGAGCCTAGAGATGTGCAAGGGAAGGGCAGCTAGCAGACATTTCTGAAGAACAAACTAATCATGTGGTGGTAATAGTGCAACAAATATAATTGCTTTGCTTATATAGAAAGAAGAGGAAATGTATCTTCGGTTAATGATCTAGTAAATAGCTTTGTAAGTAAACTGATTATCACCCTACATGAATCGGCATTAATAAATTATGTTTATCAACCTGAATAAAATAGCATAAATTATTCTAAATTAGCATAAATTGTAATAAATTATTAATATTACACCAGATAGCATGAATTATGGGTATTACCCAATAAATGATGAATTAATATCTTATTATAAATCATTACTACCCTGAATAAATTATTATACGTTATGAGTATTACCCAGATGAACTATCATGAATTAATAAGGCATAAATTAATAAATTATCATGATGTAATTATTATAAATTACTGTCATTACCAGAATTTAATACATTACCATAAATCGTTGTTCTGGATAAATTATATATTATCATAAATCATGATTATTATCCCAGATAAATTATCATAAATTATTGTACTGGATAAATTATCAAAAATTATGATTCTTATCTGGATAAATTAGTATGAATTGCTAAATTATTATGAATTAATAAATTGTTATCAACTTGAATAAATTAACATAAGTTGTTCTACATTAGTATACATTTAATAAGATTATTCTGATTGAATTCTCATAATGTTCCTAATTATCATAAATTGTGATAAATTATCCTATATAATATGCCACCTTATGGACATTCCTTAAATTGCAAATGGGGCAGTTGGCAGGAGTCTGTTATGTATAACTTAGCTTTTTGGTACTTGGCATCTCCAGATGTGCTGGGATTACAACTTCTAGAATGATCAGTCCCTCAGTTAGGAAAATGGAATTGCAATGTATCTGGAGGACAACAAGTTGGGAAATGAAGATGCAATGCTTTTAAAACTTTCAGTATTTCTTCTGTAAGGATCTTCTGATATATGAATAAGAAATAAGTGCCTAGGGAGAAGAATAAGTTCCTAGCTGAACTCTTTGCCCTCACCTCGAATATTTCATTTAAAAATATGAAGAGACATTATATGGGTACCAAATAAACATGGAACATTCTTTCCTACCTGTCTGTAACCTGGCACAGTTGGATTTTCTACAGCACTTGTCAGATCTAATTTTTTAAAAAGTTCTGAATTAAGTATCTTCAATTGTTTTTCTTATTTTTGTTTCAAGAAACTTTCTGCCTTCTGCCCCACCCCAAAAGTGATCAGGTGCATGACCAATACACCAGTCATTGTGCGGGAAGGGGCCACCGTTTATGCCACAGGCACGCATGCAGAAGTGGAAGATGGGAAGCTCTTAGAACAGCTGATGGCAAGTGTGGGCTTCTGCACTGAAGTGGAAGAAGATTTGATAGATGCTGTGACAGGACTCAGTGGCAGTGGACCTGCTTATGTATGTGCCATATCTTTGCTGTATTCTTCAAAAAGGATATAAAAGTTTTGGGTGGCGGTGAGGGTAGGGTTATATGCAGAAATGTAACTACTTTTATGCTATATCTTATTTTATGAGGCGGCAGATTGGCTTGCAATATTTGAGAATGAGGCTTTATAACCAAGTGCTTCATTTCCTAGATGTCATTAGAACTATTGGAGTTCTAGATGATTTATTCCAAACTGTTCCTAGGCTATCCACAAGGATCCATTGTTAAAATTCTGGAATACAGCAGTTGCCTCAGTCTGTACTGATTGGAAGTTCTTGACATTGTAGCTGCAGCACAATTAGAGGGCACTGGATTGAGGAACTCTGATTAGAACTCTGATTAGAACAGTGCCATATCTGTCATCGGATGTCAGCAATCATGTTGGCGATCCTATTTTTATTAACAGCCACACGAAAAAGTGCTGCTGAGTTATGTCCAAACCAGTCCATTAGATTTTGAAGCTATTATGTTCTTCTTCTGCCTGGATCTTGTTTGCCTTCAATCTTTCCTTGGAGGATTAAGTGAAGTGTGCTGTACAAAATAGAATATTCTTTATTGGCCAAGTGTGATTGGACACACAAGGAATTTGTCTCTGATGCATAAACTCTTAGTATACATACAAGCAACAGTGATAAATCATAAATCATAAGATACAATCATAAATCATGAGATACAACCAACAACTAATAGTCATAAGATACCAATAGGAGTAGGTAATAGGAAAGGTGAGAAGGATAATAGTCATGATTTAGATAATCAGAAAAATACATTGCATTGTTATGTTCCACTTCCAGAATGTTTACTTCTCTTTAACTACTGATTTCCTAGGCATTCACAGCCCTGGATGCCCTGGCAGATGGAGGGGTGAAGATGGGCCTTCCTCGCAGGCTAGCGGTCCGATTGGGAGCTCAAGCCTTGTTGGTCAGTATCTTAGCTTGTGATTATCAGAATGGTCATTGACTACTCTGCTTCCTAATAAATAGGAAAAAAGTCAAATTATTTTTTTAAAAAACATGTTTGAAATTCAAAGAAGAACCCTATTACCACCCACCTATGAAAGTACAGTACAAAAAACAGAAATACTATTGGATCATTCAATCATGTGTGAGACAAGTCAGATTTTTTTTTATTCAATGACCAATTTGCAGTTTTAAGGAACTCTGTCTGCCATAATTTACATTTCCTCCCTCAAAGATCCAGCTAAATATAGGTTAAAGTAACTTATTGCTCCTATCCCCTAAGTTGTCTTTGTCTTGTCTACCCAATACCATAGGGAGCTGCCAAAATGCTGTTGGATTCTGAGCAGCACCCTGGACAGCTTAAGGACAATGTTTGCTCACCAGGAGGTGCTACCATCTATGCTCTCCATTTCCTAGAGAGTGGTGGTTTCCGCTCACTGCTCATCAATGCTGTGGAGGCATCCTGCATCAGGACACGGTATGCTTGCACATAGCAAAAAGAAATCCCCTCTCACACACCCCTTGAGTTGTATTATTTGATCTGTTAATCCATTCTCTGTCTTCAACAGGGAACTACAGTGCTTAGCTGACCAGGAGAAAGTCTCCCCAGCTGCCGTTAAGAAAACCTTAATGGATAAAGTGAAATTAGAATCTTCCTCTGCCAACAAGGTCAGCCTATTCAACAAGAATAATCCTGGCAACAAGAAATACTGAAGAGACCCAAGCCTTGCCTGAGCCTGTTTTCTTTTTCTTTGAATGGAATATTTAGCACACATCATTTTAAAGTGGGGTGTTTTGGGGGGGAGAGGTGTCCTGGACTCAAGATGCTGAAAGAAAGGCATTTAAATTTCCAGAAGTAATTATTAAGGTATAGTAGATAGGGCAATGTTCTTGGAGGCTGAGGGGAAAGTAATTTTTTTCAGCCAGTTCTCTTAGGGAAGAAACTTCAGCAGTCTTGACAGATGATTTGTTTACATTTTTCATCCAAATGTTCCTAGTTAATTTCACAACAGATTTGCAAAACAGGTGATCCAGAGAAATAATTACATAGTCAAACAGAAAGCTGTATCTAAGTATTTTGAAGTCTTGTTCACTTTCATTCATTCATTCGTTCATTATTTCATTCCTCTCACACACACATACAAACACACACATATACAGGGTAGAAGCAGACTCTTCAGATCTTTTTTCTGCAATGTCTCTCAGTTTAATCAAACAATTGTCTACTGCTTTTAGATTTCATATAGGTTATTTGTCTGGGCTAATACACTGCAAAAAGTATCTATAGTAGTCTCTTCTATAGACTATGGAATCTCTTCATTCCATAAGAACATAAGAATCTGTTTTAAACAGATCAGTCTGATTCTCCATTTGGCCACATATTGTGTCTACTCTGACTGGCAGCAACTTTCTAGTTTTTAGCAGAGCTCTTTCTCATTTCTTGCTACCTAAATTGGATTTGCCCAAGATTTTGATCTTTCATTTTCATGCAGGTAATGTGTAAACTTTTAAAAGTTTAAGTACATAAGCTATAAGAAATCTCATCTAGATTCAGAATATGCTATAACATATGTCTGGAAGTTGTTCAGATTGTGTGGGGATTAGGTAAAGATTCCCCTCATACATATGTGCTAGTCGTTCTTGACTCTAGGGAGCGGTGCTCATCTCTGTTTCAAAGCCGAAGAGCCAGCGCTGTCTGAAGGCATCTCTGTGGTCATGTGGCCGGCATAATTAAATGCCAAAGGCACACGGAACGCTGTTACCTTCCCACCAAAGGTGGTCCCTATTTTTCTACTTGCATTATTTATGTGCTTTCGAACTGCTAGGTTGGCCAAAGCTGGGACAAGTAACGGGAGCTCACCCCATTACGCAGAACTAGGGATTCGAATCGCTGAACTGCTGACCTTTCAATCAACAAACTCAGTGTTTTAGCCACTGAGCTACCGCATCCCTGTGTGGGGATTATTCATACATAATTTTGATTTTCACAGTGGAGTAGCTATTAACACAAGGTACTAACATTTTGGTACTACAATCAGAAATAACAAACCGTACTATGATGCAAGAATGAGTAACAATTAGATGCATTAGTGATCTAATCATGAATTTATTGGATTTATTCACAGCATTCCTCTAATAGATAAGGACTAAGACTTGAAGCTTGCCTAAGGCTGCAAAATGAAAAAAAAAAAAAAAGTTGTGAAGATGTACCTTCTAAGTAGACCTGAAATCTAAGAACTTATTATAGTGAGGTGCAGAGAAGTCAGTTTTCTTATTTCTTTTAAGGCTAGAGTCTTGCTTTGCTAAAATGCTCCCTGCCCTTTCTAGGACATTGATATTGTTGTGTTATATATTGCTTCTGGGTAAAATATTTTTCTGCTGAGAAAAGCAGAACTTAGCCTTTATCTGTAGAACTTAAGTCTTTTTATATCCTGGAGGCAGACATGTGTTCTGAACTAATTGGGAGCTTCAGCATGCAGGTTCTGCTAAAGTGCCCAAAGACTGAGAAGATGTAGGTGGTGATTGTCCCCACAAAAAGATCAAGGGCAGAGCAATTCTGTACTACTACACAATTGTCCCCTTCCTGCCTTAGTCTTATTCTAGTCTTTTCTTGTCACTTTTTCCTATTTTCTAGAATACACATAACAGGAGCAGTGGCTTTTATTTTGTGAATGAGCCAAACTATTGACTCATTCTTTCCCATATTTAAACCTATAAGGAAAAGCTCAGAAACAACCATTCTGTCTTTAAACAAACCACACTTCTTGTTACATCTGAACTCAGGAAACTTCTTAAATAATAAAGTGACAATGATCTAGAGTTAAACTATATCCAAAGGAATATGAAGCAGGATTCTCCTGAGGTGAAGCTTTAGTTTATTTTTATATGACTACCCAAATGGTCAAAGAATTAGAGGAAAAAATGTTTTTGCTCTAGGTACTTGCTGCAATTTGTAGATACTATTTTTCGGGAAATCTTTATGGAACATCGATAGTCTGTATTCTTCAATTTAAAATTACGTTTCACTACTTCTGTATCCTGATTGCATTAAAGTAAGTGTGTGAAACCTCAGGTGTTTTCTTTCTTGGCTTCCCTTCAACAACAAAGAAACTTGGCCACCAATCAAAGACCTTGCTTTTCCCACTTCCTTGAATGGAAGAGATGGAACAAAATTGGGCTGAGAGTAAAAATACAGTAGAGTACTGTCTATCAGCATCTTGGAAAACTGATAGAAGAAGATCCGGTTGTAATAAGTTTGGTTTTTAATTTAGAACAAAGCTGACAACTTATATGTAAGAAATATACATTATAGAGAAAATTTTGATGATCACATGTCTATGAGTGAGAATGGCACTGGAGTGCAGTCTGAAACAGCTTTATCTGAATGTGAAGGTATCAACCTATGATTTTCACAACGTTTCTCTCAGTGCAGTGACAAGTTCAGACTTGGAAAAGGAAGAGAATCATCAGCCTGAGGGAATTCAGCTGGAAGAGTTGCTTAGCAACCAAGAAAGACAGTTATCACTAGAAATCAAAGAGGCGGAGCTACCAAGGAGAAGAGGAGGGCTGAACAAAGACTATTGGCCAGAAAACCCTGACCTGTCAAGAGAAACAATCCTGGTCATGCCACTCCTACTACATAAGAGGAGCCAGGCATCTCGCATTTCACAGATCTGTGGGGACAACTCTCTTTGTATCTCACCATCGTGTACCTCAACCCGTTAGCTGCCTCCTTAGTTGTTCAGATCTTTTGCCATCAGAGTTCTGTTTCAGAACAGAATGTTTTGAAGTATGTCTATTAGTAACATCTCTGATTTCTGTGGGCTAGGACAAAACAGATTGACACCAGCCTAAATCCCAGTCACCTAGGGAGAGTAATTAACTACTGGCCACATAGCAATGGAAATTGTCATGAATCAACTTGCCGCCAAAAACTCTCATTCATGCAGCAGGTGGTGCTACTTAAAGCACAGCTACAAGCTTTGCAAGTCTAGTCATTGCAGGCAGCAGGCACAGTGCCATTCCACACAGACCAGAAATATTCAGTAGCATGCCCAGAAAAGTTTAATGGGGTACTGACTCAGTTTCATGCCTTTTGGGCATAGTATAACCTATATATGAGTCTAAGAAGTGAATATTTTACCTCAGACAGACTTAGTGTTGGATTTGTCATCAGTTTATTAGGAGATTCTGCTAAATGGACCACACTGTTGCTAATGCAGCAGAGCCCCCTGCTGGACAACATTGCTGAATTCAGCCTTCAGTTTCAAGCTCTTCATGCCAATCCCAAGAACAACTTTGGGCCAGGATATACCACAATCGAGAACTAAGAGAAGGGTGCTGCTATGCCACGATAGCTCAGCTGCATGCAACTTTGGTTTCTTCAAAATTGTTTGTGAAGATTTTTGGTATCCATGAATCCAAGATAATGTACGGTAAGTCAGTATGTCACCTCCTGTTCTACCAGTGGTAGAGGAAAAGATGTTATTAGGCAAATCATTGGGATTTTTCATGCCATTACATGACCCAACACATCCATGGGCCACTGTATCCTAGGATTTTATAATATATCAAAGTCAAAAGGTAACACCACAATCTTGGTAGTGACAAACTAAGATGACTCACTGCATAGCTTTGGCCCACAGCCAAAGGCACCACTTGGCTATTTTCATAGCATATCTACTGTATACATAGTTAACTGAACACTTGGTTTCAGATTGTAGCCCACAATCCACTGCTAGGTTTTGGTACGTTTTTCAAAAGTCTACGGCTCCAAATCTTACAAGCATCATCTAGAGTCAGACACAATGGGTGAATGGGATTCTGAAGCAGTATCTCAGACGTTTTATTAACTACCAGCAAGATAACTGGGCAGGCCTCCTTAGCACAGGTTACGTTTACTTAAAATAATGCACAACATACGTCCATTCTTGGCTAACTATGGCACCCACCCCCATTTTTTTCTGCTGACCTCACCAGCTTCTGTTCCAGCCTTGGATCAGCTCTTGCAGGAACTACAAACAATTCATCACATTCTCCAAGATCAGTTACGGAAGGCCAAAGTTGATTATAAACACTTTGCTAATTGTCATCACCCTGCAGGCCCACCAATAGTTGTAGGGGACTTAGAATGAGTCTTCTCTAAGCACCTTGCGACCAGTCACCTATCAGACAAGTTCAATAACTCCTTCCTATTATCATTCTCAGGAAAAGCTATCATCAACCCAATTGCTTTTTAGCTCAAGTTATCTTCCAGTTTCCATGTTCATCCTGTATTGCATCATTCCTTTCTAGTTCCAACCCTCCTTGCTTCTCAGCACTGAATCCACCACCCTTTGTAATTGTAGTGGAACATCAATATGAGGCAGCTCACATTCTAGATTCCTGGCACGTTTGGGGCTGACTCAGTGGACAGGAAATGTTATGGACCAGAGGAGAATTCCTTGAAAGATGTCAGTGATGTTCATGCTTTCCATCACACATACCTGTTTCATTGACAGTAACTACAGAAGCTGAGGCCTCAGTTTGCAGGAGAGGAGAGCTGGGGTGGAGGGAACACTGTTGTGGCCTATTCATACTTGAAGAGGATCATCAGTCTGAGGAGATTCAGATGCAAAAGTGATCTAACAAGGAAGGCAGCTATCACTGGCATCAGAAGACAAAGAGTTAATGCCTCCCTCCAATGCAAGGGCCTACTGCAAGGAGAGGAGGGATGAAGAAAGGTGCTCAGCAAGACTATTGGCCAGAAAGAAACCTGCCCTGTCAAAGGAACAAATCTGGGTCACACTACCTAGTATAAGGGAAAGCTGTGCACCTACAGATCTGTTAGCAACAATTCTGTTTACCTTGCCATCATGTTCCTCAACTCCTTAGCTGCCTTGTTTGTTCAAACATTTTGCCATTAGAGTTCCATTTCAAAACATTTTAGTAAAGATACAAGACCTATGTGTCTGTAATTTCCATGGGCCAGAGCAGAAGAGACTCTTAGTCACATATTCACTTATTGACCATTTTGCTTAATAACTTGCAATGGAAGTTGGTTGCTAAATGAAGAGAGTGGATATAGAACACAGAAGTACTTAATTTAATATTACAGAGAAGTTATTCCAGGTTTTGTTCATATAGGGATTCGATTGAAATATACAGTTTGACCTGGGATGCTTAAACTTTTGCATCCATCTTAACATCTAACATTGTGTTGAATCTATATATTTTAGGTGTCTTTTTATAAATATTACACTTTCTAGTGATGGGGTTGGTTTTGTGTTCTTTCTGACTGAAGAAATTACAATGCACAGAATTGTTTGGAAAAATTCCTCTAGAAAAATTGATTAACTCTCTTCACTTAGTGTTGATGTTCCTGGTCTAGGATTTATCAGGTTCAAAGTTCACTCTGCTATAGCAGAGGTAGGCAGCATGATATTTGTGGGTACCAGTGTGCCTGTAAATTATTCTTAGAAAATATTATATATGGCTGTAGCCTAGTGTTCTCTTTGGAAATATACATAGAGGATGGGGTGGAAAAACTTCACCAGTTTACCCTTCAAATATATTGTTTTAATAGGACCTGCACACCATAGGTGGCTTTTTTTGATTAGCTAAGTCCTCCCTCACAGCAGCCCTTTAGAGACAATGGGCACAGCAGATTCTCAAATCTTCATATATGTTTACTGGTCCAAAATACTTGCTGAATCATGCTATACACACTTAATTATTTGTAACTTCTAGAACCGTACAATGAGAAATAGAAAAACTAATAGGTAGTACATGTTATATGCTCTATTAGGGCTTTAAAAAATTCCAGTAACTGCTAACATTGTATAACCATTATAAATGGAAAACAAAACTGTTTCCTATCACAGTTTTTCAATAGAGGAAGGCTTTATGTTAATTTCTAGGTTTTATATAATTTTGCTGATCACTGAAGAAAGTCACAATGAAATCCTATATTTAGGGTTTATCTGATTACCCTCTCTCAGTAATGGAAGAGGATAGCAATTCATATTCCCACTGTAGTTTCTTAAAGCTACTTTAGAAGCATGGCAGATAAATAGAACATTAAAGGTCAGCAGTACAGAAACCTCTTTTTACAGTAAACCTTTACCCTTACTAAACTACATAAAAATAATTGCCAAATGAAATGCTTATAAGACTAAGATCTAGGATTAAAGCTTAGTTAGAGCTGTCCTTATTGATTAGAATGTTACCAATGATATTGGTATAAAAGTTGGGGTGAGGGAATGGAAAAAGAAAGACTTGTGTATTTTTGCTAAAGCTTTGTTTCCAAAATATGTCAATTCTAAATCAAATTTTAGAATTGCAATTTTTATCAACTGTAATTTAGAGATCTTAATCTTGCAACCTTGACTAATGCTGACAACAAAAGACAGGTGGCTGAAGCCTGCACAGGTTTTTCAACAGATTTTTTATTTATATTATCTGAAACTGCAAAAACTTTCTCCTGATTTACGATTTCTTGCTGAACTTTCATGTCCTCATTCTGAAGTATAAATTAATATGTGACTCTTGCACATGGAGCAGAATGAGAACAGAATATTTTCTAACAGTAGCTGTTGGCTACCTTGGTTATAGAACAATTTTAATGTGATTTGTGTGACTGTAAAATGTACACAATAATTTTATGCACATAAAACATGAGTAAAGTAGTTTTCATCCTAAGGTCCTTCAGATATGGACTACCATTCTTATAGTATATATTGCATGAAAAAGAAAGAAAATATTGATGCAAAGAAAAGTGTGTCTGTCTGTCTATCCTTGTGTATAAAGTAAATTTGAGGTAACGGTATGTGTATGATGGCCTATGTCTCCAATAAGAGAAAGAATGGAAAATAATATTGCTCTTTAAAAAAAATACTTTAAATATTTTTGAAATATTAAATAGTAAAAATAATAGGACTGCAATTATCTGGATTTGAGGGCAAAATGTGATTTGGACATTTCACCTGCCAGAAATGTCTTACACCATGGATCCTCAACCCCTGGTCAGCGGCATGCCAGAAATCATAAAAAAGCAGAACCCCATCTGTGGGATGCAGGCAGCACATGAAACCACACCCCCTCCAGTCTGTGGAAAACCTCTCTCCGTGGAACTGGTCCCTGGTGCCCAGAAGGTTGGGGGACGCTGTCTTAGACTAAACATCTTTTTCTGGGAGGGTATGCCAGTAGAGGGCAGTCATACAAACCCTGGAAAAGACACAGGGGCTCCATGTAGCTATTATTCTGTAACTTTTTATCCTATGAATCCAAAATTTAGCATATTTAGCTTCATTGTTAAGACATAGGATACAGATTGCAGTAAATAGAATTGGTAACATGGCATATATTCAGCCGATGAGCAAATTATTTAGCTAAACTTTAATCAAGGAACTCAGTATTTTCTCTACAGTTATCCCATTCACATGTTTTTGGCAGAGTGTGTATTCTCCAGAATGCCATTCAACTCCTAACCAAAAGTTCAGAACATTTACCCCTTTGACAGGCCAGCAAATTCTTCCTATACATATTTTTTTTAGATATCGCTTTCAAAAGAGAAATTACGAAGAGTGATTTGCAAAGAAAATCTATTCACGTTGGAGCAGTTTGCCTTGACAAAAATATATTGAGCTGCTACAATATTTGCTTCTCCGGAAAATGCACTTTATTGTAATGAATACAAGACTGAGTATTAATTGAACTCCATGTCATAGTTAGAGATTTTGCATTAGGAACATATGGTGCTTTCTGTCATTCTTTCTAGTTATTTTTCTGCCTGCAGGGTATATGTCTATTTTACTTCCTATTGCACTTTCCATGGTTTTCATAGATTGCAAGTTCTAAGAGACAGAAATTCTGACCCATCCCATTCTAGCCACTTTCTATTCCAATTATAGATAAATATGTAATTGGTCTGTAGATACTTTCCATTGTTGGTATCCTGCTTGCTTTATATGTTTCTAATATTGTTTTAAACATATTATATATTTAATATTTTGTAAACTGGTTTCGGAAAGGTTTTTTTAATAAAAAGTGGTAAAAATATATCCAATAGTGTGTAAAGGTTTTTTTGGAACAAGTAGGTCAAGTTGATTCAGCAATACTATCTTCCCTATAGAGTAACACTAATTTCCTATTAGAGAACTAATTCACATTATGCCCATATCTAATAAATCACAAAATGTACATCAACTTCAGGCATTGGCTTTCTGATTGAAGTATTTATATAACATTTAATTATATTATTGAAAAGGCAATAGATATCTGTCTTCATAATTTAAAAGTTGATAAATAAGATTGATAAGGAAAAATTATCCATCTTGATGAAGAATTGAGATTTTAATTAAAATAAATTAAGCCATTTCTTTTTCACCCTGTATTTAGAAAAAAATAGGTTAAGCAACCAATATTGCCATTTATAGGAATGCTTTAGGATAAAACT